TTTTATTGAAATTTCAATGATCAAATCGCATAAAGTTGCAAAAGTAAAAACAAATATTGTTTTAAATACAAAACAAAAACGTGCTAAAATGTTACAGAAACGAAAGAATTCTTAAATATTAGTATCTGAAACATGTGTGAATCTTTAATGTAATTTAAAAACATTTTAATTCTAATATTTATTTAAAAAACCTGCAGTACAGCAACCCCAAGCAGTACAGCTTGGGGTTCCAAGCTAACAGTCACGTAATATGAAAATGCAAAGGAACTATTTTATAATCTATGGTTTTAAAATTTATACTAAATATGTCGTAATACAAGTAAACCTCTTCACCTTAACCATACTTTCAGTCAGTGGTCAACTTAATTCAAATCTATACATTAATAGTAAATATTTTACAAAAGTCAAAGTGCCAGCAAACAGCATCAAAAATTATAATAGAATATAAAATAAAAAAAATAATTGACAACTGTAGTATATATAAGATAATTCTAATCACAATCTACAAATCGGGCTTAATTTAAAAAAAAAATTTTTTTTATTTTTTTTTATTGATGATTTTCTCACAGAATCAAACAATGGACTGAGCCCAGTGAGCAAAGTGAGATAGGGTATATATTAGGTAAATATGCCTATAAGTTCATTTACTGAATTTTAAAATTTGTTAGTTCATGGTACCGAATATATATATCTTAATCTAAAATAATACTTCAGAAACATACATATATAAAAAAAAAACTTCAGAACCTACTGTTTGCAGTACGTAATTAAACTTACTAATAGGTTTTAATAAACCACAATACTGTTCAAAAGAACTTCCATTAGATATTAATTTAATATATGCACTTATTCTAGTCCAATTTTTATTAAATTACTTTAAAGGAAAATTTTCAAACTGTGTGCTACGAACCCCTAAAAATATGTTTATTGTTTTATTCAAAATAAAATCATGGAAGCTTGATATATATATGTGGGTGAAAACTTACAAATTTGTTTTATATTTTGAAACTAAACAGTCGCGTATACGGGTATATTCATTTCGAAAGATGCAAGAGGAAAAATTATTTGTATTTTACTTTTTTGATGAAATATTCATCTTACACTTCCTGTATAATGCATTGGGGTTCTACTATATGTGTTTACATATGCTGCGCCACCTGTGGAGGCAGTGCATCATTGTTAGTTATGTTTATAAGGCAAGGCAAACAACATCCCTACAATTAAATAATAATAACGGAAAATAACGAATCTTGTCCCGGAGCTGAAGATTCTCTTTGAGAATCTTTCAATTCTCTATCTAGAAACTGTTCTATACAAAATGTAAATTTCTGCAGATAATATAACTAGAAATTGTTATACTATGGGCGTGTGCGAGTTTGAGTAAATTGATAGTAAATAGTAAATAGTAAATTATGTCGGTATAGCAGCGAATGTTGATATTTACCAGCATTTCGAGTAGGGTAAATTAGATAAAAATTATATAAATTGGGTGTTACCACTGTGAAAATTTTATAAGTTGTTAAATAAATAAATTTAAAAACTTTCAACCAAAAATAATAAATAAGTGCAAGATATAAATAAATAAATATTTGCATAAGTGCAGTGCAAAAAATCCCTAGGAAATTTCAATTAACTTTACCTCAATTTACTCGAACTCGCACACGGTCTATATGTAACAAGTTTATATAAATTAAGATCCGGTTGAGGAAATAAGCTCATTTATAACCTGTAAGAAGCATTATATAAACAGTAAAATTATTATGTATTATAGAACTGTTATTACTGTTATTCACATCATACATACCTAAATTTGGAGAAATGATTAATTCATTTACTCCTGATATTCTAGCGAAGCATAAGCTTTTCTCTTTAATTACTTTTTAAAAAGTTGATCAAAAATTTGATTAAAATCATAAAACCGCGAATATTCTAATTAATTAGATACATATCCATACAGATCAAAACTTTCCATAACGAAGTCATATACAAATATTTAAGTACTTAATTGACGGGATTTGACATCGTTACCACCCAGTATCTTTCCATTTAAACAATGATTAGATAAAAAAATTTGTTGAGTAAACTAGGAAATTTGAATTTTAATTAATTAGCAGATTTTGTAATAAATTAAACGAGATTTTTGTGCTTAAGTATAATCAGAAATATAGATAAACAATTTAGATTTCAGATTTAACATTTCTTCATAAATTTGGAAAAAAATCAATAGATATTATATAATAGAGTAAGCGTCAGAAAATTCCATTTACATTTCTGATGAAATATATTATTACACTATATAATTGAGCAAAATATCACTGTGATATTTAATCGAACAGCTGATGATTTTTGTAAAATTGCCAAAAATTACAATTACAGAAACAAAAAAAAAAACTAATAGAGAGCCAAAGTCGAAAAGTTTAAAGAATCGTGATACGATTTTTTTTTAATAATCAATTTTTTGATTTTAAAAATATTTTGTTGAATTTGTTTATGAGCTAAAAAAAGAGTAGTTTCATCATGAGATTTGCCGGTATCGTCAGATTTGCGGTTGCTGTGCTAATGTCGAACACACGCGCCCAAAATAATTTTATAGACAAACAACAAACAACGAACCTACTAAATGACTTTGTTTTTAATGAAGATCAACAAATTAAAAAACAAATAAATAAATTTCAAACGAATTAAATATTTATTAATATCACGGGGTGACATTTCAGTTCCACATGACACACCCACTTTTCCAGTGCACATAGAAACGTGACAATTTATTTGTCTATCATATCTGCACTTGGCACTTCTGTGAGGGCAATTCACAGAGACATGCAAATCTGAATAAAATTCCTACTCATAAAACTGTTAACAGAATAATTATTAAAATCAACAAAATTGAATAACGCAAATACGAGTATTGTAAGCTCTTATCAGGCGGTATTCCCTTATCATTACTTATCACTAATCAGTACGATTATTAAATATATAGGATGTGTAGTGGATGTGTAGGGCAAAGTATTCGAATATTTACAACGTTTATCGAATTCTAATCGGTATCGGAACATAGAAAATGCAATTATTGTTTATTGAATTCATAAAATGTTTTCCATTCCATGTACAAGTATTTAATCATTCTATTTTAATAGCTCATAGCTTATAGCTCATAAAATAAATGAATAGAAAAAACATATCAATAAGTGCCTAACTTTGTTTTTTTTTTTTTGAGATAGAAAGTTTATATAAATTGTTGAGTAGATTCAATAAAATTTTAATGACTATTCCTACGACTAGTATGTAGTCGCAATAACTTCTAATATGCAATGATGTTGTTGTCCGCTAGGAACGATTATATTGGTAAGAATGTGGATGGGTAGTGATGGATGGTGGAGAAGTGGGAAATAGAAATAAGGGGTGAGCGGGATTCAAATTAAAGATCAACCCGGATTCGGACGAAGACTAATATGCAATAAATAACGGTTCATGCATGAAACTCCAAAAGTATTAATTTCTAATAATGGTATCCGGATAGAAGATATGAAAGATGGTAGGCTGAAAGAATCAGTTTAAATCATGTTTGCTATTTGGAAACTTAAGAAGCAAAGGAAGTTCTCCAAGGAAGTTGTAGAATTTAAAGCCGGGTTACAATAGCAATAGATCTGTTCCACGAGTTAATCGTAGTAAAACTTAAAATTTAAATTCAAACCAAAACAGCTGATTCACACATCATAACAATTTTTACTTAAAATAAAAAGTTCCTAGATGCTCTCATTTACCCGAAAATTTACTGGTAGAACGGGCTTGTGTATAGACATTGTTACTCAAAGTTACTACGAGTAGCTTGAAACAGAACTAATATAAGTAGATCAAATCTTAATAGATAATGCAGTTTATATAAGTTTGTAACCTTTCTACGAAAGCTATAATTAATTACCAATTTCAGAAGCTTATGAGTAACACTTATTGTTCTATTTTGCTTCAGGGAAATAGAGCTTGAAATATTTTGTAGTATCAATTTACTTTGATTCAATCAAATTCATAATATGCATTATAGATTCAAAGTTAATAGCGTTAGCAGTTGTGGGACGGTTAATTGTATTTCGCATTAAAGTTCCTTGTAAAAGAGAAAAAAAAGATTCATGCATTACCATTCGGTACTTCTTAGCTAATATGCAAAATATTCTTCGATTATAACTTTTAATTTTATTGCTAAGCAAATGCTGTTCCAGTTCTGCCAGCATTTACACATATTGATTGCAAAAAGACACAAGCATTTAACGCTTAATGTTAGTAAACACTACGTAAATCAGTGTGTCAACACAAATATCTACAATTCTCCCGCGACGTATGTCCTGCCCGCCACAATAGGCCCTTTAAGTTGCCGGAGGAAGGCAAACTAGACTCAGAACAGTCCAAAGAACTAACAAACAGACAATTCCAATTTACAAAACATGTTCAAAGCGTATGTGTGTGTTTATCACATATTTACAAAATTACAATATAAATTCAAATCATAAAATGTTAAAATTGAAGTTATGAGTTCATAAAACAACATAATTTTGCATATCATCCTTGGATTGTTCGTTGTGAAGACCGATTCTCCACAGAAAACATTCATACTTTCTTTGGGAAATTTTTTGAGAGAATACATGGAATCTTTTAAATTGCAGCAATATAAATAATATTCGTTATAATATCTGTAAGAATTAGATATTATGCAACGCACTCATAATCTGATGAAATGGATGAGGACACAAATGTGGTCTCCAATGCCTGTCGAAAATATAAATACCGAGCGCTGTTGAAAGCAATAAAATAATAGTAGATTCATTGTGCGGATTTGATTATTATATAGAATATCACATACTAGTTTATTATTATGATACCTGATATTGACGTTTAGGATTTCCTTGCGCGCGGAAATGAGCGCACCTCGCAGGCGATTTTGTGATTGAAAAATTTTCAACCAAAATTAAAGCCTATTATCACAGTATTTTGTTATAAAAACTTACATGAAAATTGCTATATCTGGTCGTAAATAGTTGTAGTCTACAGCAGTTTGAATCAAATTTATTTAAATAATTTTCTGATTAATTTTCGTGGCTAAAAAAAATTGTTTATCAAATTCCGAACAGCTGTCAACTGAACATTGACAGGGTTGCGGTGTAGCATAAGAAATACTACCTTTCGAATGACAGGTTATCGTAAATAATATTAAAAGAATTTAGCATTGTGTGCGCGACAGTAAAATATTTTTAATAAAATTTTAAATAAAAATTTTTAATAAAATTTTAATAAAATATTAATTTAATAAAACTTAATTTTTCAATGAAACGAAAAGTTCCTTCGCTTCGCTTCTCAATCAATACATGTTGTCATACGCTTTGTTGTATTATTAAATTATTACATATATTTTTTGTTGTCTTTACTTTTTTTTTGAATGTGTCTCTTTAAATATTTAAAATTTGTTCTTGTCAAATATTTTTAAACAAAATATACAACACATTTGTATTGATAATAAATCACTAAAAATAAAATAAAATCGGTGGTACTTCGGAAAATATAACGCTTTTAACTTTATATAATGGAATCGGCAACGCTCGATACTAGAATAAATTTGAGGTAAATAGTTAACTAGACGTGCCATAAATGACGACAGATTTTAAGAAGACTGGCTACTTCAAGCAACTTTTTTTTTATTACGCTGAATACCAATAAAGCTAAACTCTTAAAATATAAGGCGAATTGCTGATTTTTGCTTAAAATATGGTCGCACCATCTAGTGGCAGTAATTATATGCAATTTTTTTGTTAATTACACTAACGGCCAATTATACAAAATAAGCGACTTTTCAAAATCTGTCATCAACTCGCAGCATATATTAACATATATAACCCAATATCATTCTGTTTTTGATCAGTATGCCTCCAAGACAAATCTTTTAGTCTCAATAAATTTCATAAATTCTCATTGAAAATTATTTTAAGGACACACGAAATGCACATTTTCTTTTTTTCCGCTATTGAAGAAATGTTAATTGTGCACATTTATCGCCAGCTCATGGTCTAGCGGCACATATGGACATTTTCACAGCGGTTCACAGCGGCTGTCATTACTGTCAAGTGCCTTTCTCATACTAATGCTTCACACAGTATGTCAGGTAATGACTCAAGATGTCGCTGCACAAAGTTGCTTGCAAAAGTATTTCTTGCATAGTTTTAGGGAGTGACAAACGTTTTTAGTTTCCGTTTTTATATTTATTTTAAAAACTTTTAAACTGCTAAAAACCGCATTTAATATATTCTCTATTTGCCAATAAATGCAAAAGGCCAAATAAGTGAATTGCATTTTGTGAATAAAATTATTAATATTAATAATGGAATATTAATAATTGTCAGAAGTAGTGCAAGGCTAAGACCTTGACATTGTGACAAAGTAACAAAGTAAAGAATTGTGCAATAAGTTATTTAAGTTAATATCTAATGATTGAACTTAAAAAATACTTTTAAACTTATTTTATTTTAAATTTAGCCAAAATATGGACTCGAGTACTAGGCAAAAGCGTCTGGCACGTTGGTACTTTGGAGGCATAGCTTCCGCTGGCGCCGCTTGCTGCACTCACCCGCTTGACTTAATTAAAGTGACGTTACAAACACAACAAGGCAAACTATCTGTGCTGCAGCTGACGGGGAAAATACTGCGAGAGCAGGGCGTGTTGGCGCTGTACAATGGTCTCTCCGCGTCTGTGCTGCGGCAGATGACGTATTCTATGACGCGCTTTGGTGAGTATATAAATGGATGAAGAAAATGTTTAATTTGATAAATAATAAAATAATATTTAATAATTCAAGGCATTTACGAAGTCGGCAAACCTGTGATTAACACAGACACTTTTCTCGGCAAAATTGCACTGGCAGGCTTGGCTGGTACTGCTGGTGGCATTGTAGGTGAGTTAAGCGAATTAATTCATTTTCAAAATATCGAAGAAAACACTTGCATTTCCCTCCCACTTGCATTTTCGTAAAGGTACTCCCGCTGATATGGTGAATGTGCGCATGCAAAATGACGTCAAGCTGCCTCCTGATCAACGAAGAAAGTAAGTATACGTCGCTGCGGTAAAAGTTTTGATTGGCTGTGAATGAAACGTGTATTTCAGTTACAAAAACGCCATTGATGGGTTAGTAAAGGTCTACAGATACGAGGGTTTCAGTCGCTTATTCTCTGGCGCCACGACGGCCACTGGCAGAGGTGTCCTAATGACAATTGGGCAAATTGCCTTTTATGATCAGGTAACACTTTTGCTCTTAACATTTTACATTTACTGACTCTCCATTCTATTAGATAAAGACGACGTTACTCACAACTGAATACTTCAAAGACGATTTGCGCACTCACTTCACTGCCTCACTCGCTGCTGGCGCCATTGCCACCACACTCACACAGCCGCTGGATGTGCTCAAGACTCGTGCAATGAACGCCAAGCCTGGCGAATTCAAAGGCCTGTGGGATATCGTCAAGTTCACTGCCAAACTCGGTCCACTTGGCTTCTTCAAAGGCTATATTCCGGCCTTCGTGCGTCTCGGCCCACACACCATTCTGACTTTCGTTTTCTTAGAGCAGTTGCGCTTGAACTTCGGTTACATGAAACAGTAGGCTAAACTCAAGCCATTGAGATTCAAATTACAAATTTGAAAGGAAAACGCAGACCGCGGTGCAGTTGGAGGAGCTTAAACTCCTCGGCGCACTGCAAACTTAAACTCTTAATTTTATTGGTTAAGCTTAGCACAATAATTCTTTCTGTCTTTACTGCATTTTTCGCAATTGTTAAGTTTAAAGTTAACGTTTTATAGAAATTTTACAAATACAAATTAGTTGAAACAAAGGAAACTATAATATTAAACAAATATTAAATTAATTGAATAAATTAAACTACGGAACTAACATTCCTGCTAAATGAGTACTAAACCTAGTGAATAAGCGTAAACTAGCAAATTTTCGTTGCAAACTAAGCTCAAAATAGAAGTCCATTTATGTACTGCAGCGTTTTATATACAATATAGTGCAAATTTATATATCTAGACTCACTCAATAAGGAGAAGAACTATTACATAATGTTATTTACAAAATCTACATTAGCTCAATTGCTCTGTTCCCACAGCAACAAGCAACAATCAACAAGCAGGGCGAAGCAGAACCCGGCCGTTTGTATATTTTGTAAAGTCAAGTGTTTTTATTGAGAGTGAATTTATGAAGTTGAATTTTATGATTGTTATTTAATTCTTTAAGCTGTCAACTCTGTATGTTAAATAAACAAATATTGAAATATAAATAAATGTTAAAAAAAAGAAAATAAAGAAGACTGCTTACGAAAGCACAATTGAATTGAAATTTCTTACTTTTATATAGTTTATCATCGTCGAGACTACAATTGATGTCTAATATTGATCTCATTCAATAAATTGCCACACAGATCCCAATTGCAAACCGATATCGTCTGAATGGGCAACTCTAGGCTTCAACCATCGAGGTCTATGTCATTTGTCTAGAACATACTTTATTTTTTTGTTGCCGGGTATCATAGAATTTGTCACAAAAGGTTTTCCGAGCAAGTTGCGCTGAATCCACCCATTCACTGCAGACACTCTTGTTACTCTATGCAACCTTTCTACCGTATTCTGGATCTACCTTGCTGCCTCAACCAAACTCCAATCAGGTGACCCCTGACAAGTATAAAAAGTCAACAAATCACATCACAAAAGACACATAAATATATTTGCTGCTTTCATTATGTATTCATTATTTGCTTCATGCTAAAAATGCTGAGATGAGAAAGGCTCGAACAACATTAATACGTACGTAGATAGTGGTCGATAATCGTCATATAGTGATGATTTAAGAGTACAAAAAGTGGAAGAAAAGCCATATTTCTAATTTTCTAATTCTGATTGGAACCAAATGAGTTCAATGCAGGGTACTGAAAAAAAATTTTCCGAGGTTCCAGATGTTGACCTTCAACACAGAACGCATCGTAACTGGTGACAAGAAATAAGTCTAAAAGTTAATATGCAGAATATTGCGATATCTGGTCGGATTGTTGTTAAATCGCAAGGATATAAACTTAAAAATATTTTTAAAAGTTTACTCTGAAACAAATAAACGAGATGATTTTTTTTTATGATTTTATATTAAGAGCTTACCTCAAAGTTTCACTAAAAGCAATATTACCACCTATATTTTTATTATTTTTCATGTAGGGTGGGAAGAGGTCTTAGATTTTACCCTTTGCTCGGTTTCCCATTTCTAAATGAACAATGACTGGAGAGTCACAGCTAAGAAAACCTTCTCTGATGATGGATGCATTATGCTTGTGATGGACATTCCCACGAGAGGCTATCAGTGCACGAAATACCTGAGCTGAATGGCCTAAAACTAGCTCTTTCGCACAAGGTTATGTATTTAGAAGTGATTCTTGATACAAAGCTTAACTGGAAAATTAATATATTTCATTTCGTGCAAAAAAGATGGTACGGTAAGGAGTGTGGATTACAGACTAAAGTAATTCTCTTTGGCTGTATAGTAAATAAGTAAATATATAAGAAAATGAAAATCATAGGCATCGCAAGTTATGTGGTCCTCGCTGAGTAAGCAGTACATTATTCAAAAGCTAATCACATTGCAAAGATCTTCAACATTGCGTGCATTATTAGCACGCTCAATGTTATGTTTCACATTTTACCTATTGATACTCATTTTGACCAAACGACTTCTGTTGGTGCAGAAATACTTAAAGAATTAAACTGTTGGCTCTCAACAACGCTAGGATATGGTAAAATTCCATTAATCTATCCGAACGATGTAAACATAGAATCGAATTACTTATGTCCGCGCTAATACTTTGACAATAGCTCAACCTATCTGGGTTGATCTATGTATAGATAGGTTATAACAGATCAATTTATGTTAATATCTGTTCTAACGGGACACTGGATTATAGGACGGCATGGAGCTGAACTCGGTCTGTAGTACACATGTCTAAAGAAAATACATTACAACACTTGTTATGACTATATCCAGGTTTATCTAAAAACAGGCTTAAGCTATTGGACGCTCCATTCTTCCACGCATTCGGCGATATGTCCAGTTTTATTATTAGCCAAATACTTGCTTTAAACAATGGTTTTAATATGACTATTCTTCTACTCACTGTTATGAGGAATTTGTTCAAAACGCATTCCTAGCTAATCGAGAAGGAATCGTTTTTCTTTCTGCTTTACCTAATCTAGCCTAAAAAACAACTACAATAGCTATCGCAATGATATAAATATAAAAATAGTCCTCAGAATTTACTTTTTCGTTTTAAAAAAAGTTATAAGAAATATATTATAGGACATGAAAGTAATGAACATAATATTAGATCGGTCCAACCAACCAATCCCAAATGCATGAATATAGAAATATGTAGACTATAAATCGATATCGATACGAACTCCCGCTTCGTGTCGCGGTATATAAAATACTTTGCAATGTAACAGTGTTTCAATATTTTAATAATAATATCGTTTTATTTAAAATAAATTTTTCAAATAGTTTATTTTTAATAAATTACAATCAAAATTCTACTATAAATAAAATATGCAATTAATCATATTAACATAAATAATTCAACAAAAATAGAAAACGACGACAAAATTTAATATTTAACAAGTTCACAGTCCTTTATAGGTCATTCCCAATCGTCACTTGCAGACCGATGACTTTCATAACTTGGCATTAAGCAAATAATAATCGAGAGGGAGAGGAGTATGTATATTATGGAATATTTGGTATCCTCAAGAATGTAACTTTATCTCAAGGACAGTGAGATATTATAAACTTCACATTCATTTATTTGCTTTAACTTCGGTTTTATAAAAGCTTAAAGTTTTCTACAGAAGTAAAAAACATGAGCATCAGGTAACATCGGTTACCTCACTTTTAAATCTGATGCCACATCTCAGATTTTTGAAGTGTGTCAATCTTGTTAATTAACGACTTCAGCACCGTCACGTGCTCTGAACATGTTAAAACTCAAACTGTCATTTGCATTAATTTTCCGATTATTTAGCCTAACACAATATCAATATCTCTAAAACTAAGTGCATAAAATAAAGTAAAAGTATTATCTTAATTTAATATGAATAATATTGGAGTCATCTTTTCCATATATAATTTTTAACATGGTTTATTGTACAGTTTCCTTCGATATCGACCCAGCTACGGCCGTCCACTAAATTAAGTAAATTTTTATAAACAATTCGCAGTATCTCTGCTGCTTACTTGCGCTATACATAATAGCTTCATTTCTTATGCTCAAAAAGTGATAATAAAATTATTAATAAATATTAGTTATAAATGAAAAAATGTTATAAGAAATAAAACTTCTCATATATAAAAAAAATCTGCATGCAAATACTTATTCTCATATAAAACAAAGTCAAAGTCAAAATAGTGATATTATATAGCACTTTCAATTCTTCGATTCAAGTTTTTTGCTACAACATTTGTCTTTCATAAAATTGTCTCTCAAAGCTTTTGTTCTAGATAAATTGTTTTAAATATAATATTGCATCTAAAATATATATTTAGTATTTTCCTCGCTTTTTGATTAATTAATTTTTTACTAATCAAATGTGAAAAATGGGTATGAGTGTGTCTGCGTAGAGTATGCAAAATTGTGTATTATTAACCTAATGTAACGTACAAAATAAAAAATAAATTTGTGATTACTTAAAAGGACAAAAATGTGTCCTTACTATATAAACTATATAAACATCCTCAAGAATCTCAAGAATACTTGTTTTGGAAAAAATAAGTGCTTTAAAAATAACAGATTAATAAGTATTAGCAATGGAGGAGAATTGCGATCCAGGCAGGTACCACTTATGGCAGAACCGCACTAAAAATTATAACTTATCTATTGTATAATCAATATGTATACTGCAGCTAACTCGTGGTTGAGACTGTGTAGCACCGAAAATGGGAGACAAATCCAAATCGTATAAAGTCATTGTAAAGTGGGGAAGTAGTGTAATAATCAACCCGTATGGATATCTAGGTTATGGCTGATGGGAGAGGAAGGTTTGTTAAAGCCACGTATACAAGGAAGATGAGGCTAAGAACGGGTGTTATTTATAATATTTATGAAAATATACATATGTAACATAGCACACAGTACTCTATCTGACGCTAGTTCGAAAACACAATTGGAAGGGTGAAAAAAAAACATTGTCAAGGGAGAAATGGAAAGCCAAAGCTCACTTTAAGTTGCGGAGCCAAATTTACGATAAATATATCTGATATAGGCAATAACAAATGTCTCCTAAATGACACAAATAAAATCATTATGTCGGCTAATACTAGAGTAGGTTCACTGTTGACAGACTAACGATAAACGAAAATTCTATTATTCAAAAGATTTTAAAAGAGATGATCGAGTACTATACCACTTTCTATACCGGTAAACATAATATAGATTGTAAACATGCCTACCATTTTATAAGAAGTGGATTTCCTATAAAAGCTTTTAGAAAGTTTAGAAAACTCAATTAACTGAGAAACCGTTAAAAAGACTAAAATGAATAAAGACAGATACAGGGTAAAAATCTGTAAAGCTCTATCATTGCTTTTGAAGGATCGATATGAGACCCTTTAATATGTTATATTGTCATATTGTTATTGTAGCCTAAAAACCAAGGAAACTTTGATAACGATAAGGAATTAACTTAAAATAAATTGCAAGGGAACTAGAACATTACCTGCTGCGAAACTAAACTCCTACGATGAGCTTAACAACGTCCACATTAAAAAAAGCAAAATTTAAATTCCTAAAAATTAAATCTTTTACACAGCTAGATTAAAGCACAAAATCTAGCAATGACATAAATAAAGCAATTAAAAACAAGAACCTTATCTGTAATGGAGGGTGGGAGAAATAATGCTATTAACTGGTGGACAGCAACAAGAAACAGAAGCAGATAGAGGTCCGACCTTGACATGATTAAAGCATGAAGCGGACCGTTAGAATCACTGATTAGGAAATATTTTACTTTCCCGATTGAATACATGCAAAATAAGTAAATAATCAATAAAACTATTCAGTCATGCTCACGACAAATACAAATCTAGCTGATGAGGACGGTAATGGATTGTAGATACACATATATCTAAAATAAAAACATAGTAACATATTATGAACTATATTGCATTCGATAAGTAGGAATTATATTGTATAAGAATTATATCTGTGATAAAGTGTTAAGACATATATGACATTTTAAACAAGACACCAATTAAAACAACAATTAAAATTTAAACGTAACGAGCAAAGTATTTCTTGAAACTAAAGAGGAACTACCACTTTATGTGATAACAGTTTCTGAACATATTATCAAAAACAAGTTATATTTGCAACTAATTACACCAGTTATGGAGTAGACTTCAGTTCCATGTTAGACTTAAAGTATCAACAGCGTGAGAATAATAGCTACATTTCTAACAGAGACAAATGAACCACCTCTCCCAAAGCATAGGTAGGCTACCACCCTCTGGTTCTGGCTTAGATAAACATAGTCCGCTATGTATTAAATCTTTTGCTCACATCTCTCTCCCCTGATTACTGAAAGGAAGTTCCCAAATTGGTGTGGAAATCTTCTCCATTTATTCCTAACTGATAGTTTTAGTGGGTTCAAGTCTCACACTATGGCTTTGATACTTTTCACCTACTGGAAGAAAAGCATTGGTATGTGAAGTACAATTAATCGTGCTCAAACGGAGTTCACAGTATAGAATTTCAAATGCTAAGTCAACCTAGATAGTTAGCTGCTTGTCTATATAACTGAATTATGAACAAATCTATATGCTAAGTAAATAGTTTGTTAGGACTAAATGATAAAATGTTTTTGTATAATTAAACATAAAAATCATGCGTAAACATAAAAAAATTGTCAATAGATTTAAGCTTCCTTCCTTACCTACTTTCATTCTCATGTCCTGCATAGTGCAGTGCTTTCCTTAGAGTCTAACAAATTTTTTAACAATTTAATATACTTCATATATGTAACCTAATTCGTTCCTAATAAAACAATAAATTACGTTTGCATTTGCGTTAATAGAGCAAAGGCATTAAGTAGTACAGTACCTCTACGTAGCTGACAACTCCGAAATACTTTAGTTAATAACTAAATTATTCATACTAGCAGTGTTTAGCTTTTGTTTTTGTGAAATTTCTGTGTCATTGTGTAGGTGCAGTGTATGTGGTTGGATGTTGTTAAATAGATTGATTGATTAATTAGTTTAGTTCTATTAACAAATACCATTTGCCAGCCGAGTTTGCATTTACAGCGGCTCATAGCTTTCTTAAAATGCCAACCAAGGATGATGTAGTAACGATTCTTTTGAACGATCTCCATAATCGTAGGTCAGTTCTTCTCCCTCTTCAATGTCGTCTTTAGCAAGTAATATTAGATGAGGGCGTTGTTTTACAACTACAACTTTTGTTGATAGATTTCCATTACGGGAGTGATTCACCAAGCGTCCTAATTTGCCCGAGTCGGCTGTGGCATCGATGCAGTACTGCTGATTTTTGTGTTTGAAATAATACATGTAGCAGCCAGCGTTCTCATCGAGAGCATATCGTTTTTCCCGCTCGCTTGCTTCATTCATATCAATTAGGTCTCCTATGTATTCGACGACGAATTCGTTACGTTTGAATCGTCTATCTGCAATGACGCCTCTTCCTTTTCCCTCAAAGTGTGCTATTTTAAGACCGTCAGCACGTTCCTCCAGTATGGCTTGCTCCATGTTGCGCATAATTTCTTCTTTAACGGCAGTTTTTGTTTTACGCACGCTGCGCCGAACTGGAAAGAATTCCTTGAGTTCACGGTTGCCATTTGTTGCGGCCAATGGCAGCGGCCATTGGTTTTTGATCTTTGGTTGCGCTTTGTGTGTGCCATTTGTTTTGGGTTTGGCTTGTGTTTTTGTTGCTTGATTTAATTTATTATTGTTATTGTAATTTGTGGAGTTTTGCTGGGCAGTAGGATGCTTAGCTGAATTGAGTACAGTTTTGGTGGTGGCAGAATTAAGGCCATTTAGAGGAGCACAACACGAAGACTCTACCAGATCAAGATTCTCAAATTCCTGATCAGGATCATCATCGTCTGGAACAGTTGTCACACTTTTAGTATCGGCCGTAATGTGGTTGTGCTGCTTAAATATAATTAAGTTTTATTATTTTGTCGAAATGTCTTTAAAACATTAGCAAAAAAAATTTTAGTATTTACCTGCTTGTAACCATTTTGCAAGGGTGCAAGATCTGTTGTTTGTATATTGTAAGGCGTTTGTTCCTTATGTTGATTCAGTCTTCTGCGTGTCTTAGAGGTAGCTGAGACCAAATGACGCTGCGTTTTACGTGGGGATAGCTGCTCTTTGGTAGTAGCAGATTTACGGTTTGCTGGAGGTATAACAGCAGGATGGGCCGGCGAAATAACTCGAGCTGCTGATTTAATCGGTGATGGGCATACTATGCGATGTGGAGTTGCGGGCTTCCTGCGACGAGTTTGCGTGGCACCAGCTTCAGTGAGTGATACATTCTTATTGTCTAGCAATGATTCATGTGCAAAGCCATTCATAGGCACTGATTCGAAACCAAAGGAATCACGCTTACCAGGTGATCCATTTAATGAAACAATCTGATTAAAACGTCCATTTAAGGCAGCTGCTGTAATTGTCGGGGGAGAAGAAAATATCGGCTCTAGTTCAATTGATTTGTTTATTTTTATTGATGAGGCCTGATTTGGAGACTTGTCTACATTTAGAGTAAGCACCGGCTCCTGTAAGAATATGTTATCAGTGATACTACTACGCGACGAATGACTATCGCGCTGCGAACGGTGGCTAATAAAGCTAGCACCATTTATGCATGGTAGAGTTTCCTCTGATAACTCTGTATTATCAGTGTCGTTGGTGTCCTCACTTAAATCAAAGAATATATCTGTTGATATGTGAGTGAAGGGCATATGTGGAGACGATTGTAAGTCCTCATAGTCAATATCATTGGGGAGCACTATTTCTGGAGAACTGTTAACCTCATTTCTTGGCAACGGGCAATTCTTGGCAATTAAGTTGCAATTGTTAATTGTCTTCTTCTCTTCAGTTTCTAAAATTGGTGCAGACTTTGCGGCAGTTTTTGCTTTGAAAAAATTTTCAATCGTACGAGTCTGAGAACGCGTTGCAAGAGGAACTCCTGAAACAGTAGACAAATTAAAACAAATTAAATGCTTAAAAGAAACATAATGATTCTGACTTTAATTTAAATATTTTAACTGATTAAATGCTGCTAAATTTACTTTTTTTGCATTGCTAGTAGGGAAAATTACATTATCGACAGAGAAACTTAGCAAAACATATAATTTTCTACTATCAAACAAGGTTAGTTTTATTATATAAAAATATTAATGAAAACTGTACTTTTTTTATTTTTCATTACCATAAGTCGTTGTCGATATACGTTAGTTGTCTAATTCACAATCAGTTATTAAATAATAGTAGCTTAAGTATTTATTGTTTACATAATTATTACCAATAGTTTTTCCAACGATTCCGCCACGCTCCGACTTAGTTTTGCTGTTATTACCTACGTTAGCGTTTTGACCGACGTTTTGTTCTCTTTCTTTGTATGTTGGCACTAGGACTGCAGAAGGTACATTAGGTGCGTCTAAAAGACCGTTGTCAATTTTGCAGTCTTTCCGTTTTGGGCTAGCGAAGTATTGGTCCTCTAATAAGTTTCCATTGGCCACAACAACAGACACTCCATTTGCCACAAACCCATTCGCAACAATAGCATTTCCTACGGCAGTAACCTTGTTGGCGCGTGTAGTGCGTCTACGCACCATGGCTGTCTGCTAAGCTATAGCTTCTCGTAATGTCGTTTGGCGCGTACAGCCACAATGTGGTCACTATATTTATGTAAAGTGGAGCAAGCTTCTATAATTGCCAAAACTGCTATTGTTCGTTTGCAGATTGCCCTATTGAATAGAAAATTTTGCGATTTTAATTACTCAGTTTTTTTTTAGTTCATCAATGAAGTGAAAGAATTTATTTCGGAGGGAATTAACCAACGCGTTGCTTAATTTGCAGATTGTGTAGACAGACTTGACATTCATCTCGCACTTACCGACAGAAACCAAAATTTAATCGCCTTTTACACAATTAGTTACTTTTTTTCAAATGCTATAAGTAGTTTATTTTATACATATCAATTTATTATTACTTATTTTTTTAGATTATTTGTTCTCGCGCCTCTAATTACATTTTCCGTCTTTCCTGCTGTTAATTTTTCTTTGTGTCTTCTCACTTCATTTTCTGCTAACGCTTGTAGTTGGTTCTAGTTATTTGTAGAGGGAGAAAACAATATAATAAACTATACAAGACTTGTTGTATAAATGCAATAAAAGAAACGCCGATTACAGCTGCCATTTTTAGCGCAGTGTTGCATTTTTTTTGCGACATATCAGAATATAATATATTTTTACATCAGAATATAATTTGAATTAATTAATTTCACAAGTGAATTAATCTCACCATATTATATGTGTAAATGAATCTCATTTCCTGATTTTGTATAAATGAGTTGCAACGAGTTTCAAATGAGTTCCAAATATGTTTCAAATGCAAATGAATACATTGAACATACCCTAAATAAAACTTTTTCATGGCATTTTGACAGTTTGAGTTTGAGAAAGCGGTGGTTGATTTTCTTGAAAACGATGCACCTCTTTTTGGAACTTCTATTTCCCAAAATTAAATTAATTGAAGCTAAAAATTAGTTTTCAATTTATATTGTAAGGTTTGAAGATATATTTTATCATAATACAATATTTTTTTGGCACACATAAATCAAATCAACAGGCACATTGACAAATCAGCTGTTTGAAATGAGAACAAATGAATAGAAACGAATGTAAACACTTTCAAGTAACTGATTTAAAATGAGTCATTTGCGGCCAGTGTAAATGCCATATAAGAAAGTTTTTGTTTGTTTAGAAAAATTTCACTCAAAAATATATCACACAAAAACTTGTGTATTTAATTAATATATAAAAAAGTATAAATATATATATATTATAAATCTATTAGGAATTCAATTAATAAAAAAATTGTTTTAACTATTCATTTTTTCAATGAGTTTGTTTTAGCTCAGCTGACGTTTGTTTACATTTTACTATAAAACGTATGCCAAATATTATAAATTTCGGTAATCTTCTTTGTTCTTAAATAAGTTAAAAAGCATGAAAGCTTTTTGTATGATTAATGAAATTTACTTAGTAAGTTATACATATTAAGTAAGCATTGGAAGAATACTATTAATTATAATCAATCTTTTATTAGTCTACTTTCATATATTGTTATTTTTTTATCATAACGCGCCAACAAATTATTAATTCAAAATTTATATAATTATAATCACATAATATTTTAATCTCTGTTGTTTATTGTTATGGTATATTACTATTGCTTCGGTTAAGCAGTTCATTTGATTAAGGTTATTTATATTAAGAATATAAAGAACTTTCGGTCTTTTTAACTTAGTTAAGAATAAATCAACTGAAGTTAGATCAAAAATGTTGAATTCAACATTACAATATATATTTCCTAAAAGGGAAATGATCGAAATTTAATATATTTGACATGTGAAACAAAATGTAAAATAACAAACAACTTAACTCAAGCAAACAAAAGGTAAGAATTTTTTAGAATGTTTGTTCTTTATTAATAAAATACATTACTGATTATACATTATACAATATCATATATTATTTAACAAAAAAATATTTATTTCAGTTGGATATCAATTGAAATGTGAACACACAAAAGCTCTCCTGGAACTTTTTGACACATAAAAACTGTTTCACATGCATAAATCAACTAATGCCAAAAGAAACGACCGAGTCTTAATTACACTAACATAAGTTGTTTTAGACGAAGTGGGAACATGTTACTAGTTTTTTATCATAAAGTGACATACAAAAAATATTTGGGTATCATCAATAATGATGTATTTAATAGTTTTTATTATTTATCAATTGATTTAAAACTGTTATACGGCGTTTACATTGGCCAAAAATGGCTCATTTTGGTCAAAAATCGAAAATGAGTATCGAATGGCTCATTCTTGCATATAAAATTTCAAGCACAAAATGAGCAATTTTCTCACATTCTGTATGAATGACGTTCGAATGCATTCCACATATGTTCCAAATGCAAAGGAATCTATTGAACATACCCTAAATGAAAGCTCTTCATGGCATTTTGACAGTTTGTAAAAGCTGTTTTGACATATTTACAAAAAAAAGATAAACAAATGTTTAGTAGTTTTATTTCAGTTTGAATTGTTACCATGAGAACGAATGAAATACAACGAATGTAAACACTTTCAAATGAGTCATTCAAAATGAGCCATTTTCGGCCAATGTAAACGCCGTATTCTTCTTCTTCTTAGTTGGCCATTACAGACGTGTGTCGTCCTTGGCCGCGTCGAGTAGCCTCCGCCAGTCAGCCCGATTAGTTGCTTTCTGACGCCAGTTGGTAGTACCGAGCGCCCCCAAATCGTTGGTCACCTGGTCCTTCCACCGAAGATGCGGACGTCCTCTACCGCGTTTTCCACCTGCGGGTACCGAATCAAATACCTTTCTAGCCGGAGCACTTTCTTCCATTCGCACGACATGACCAAGCCAGCGTAGCCGCTGAATTTTTATGCGCTTAACTATGTTAATGTCGCGGTATAGCTCATACAGCTCATCGTTCCATCTAATTCGATACTCGTCGCCAACGCGTAAGGGACCATAGATCTTCCGAAGAATTTTTCTCTCGAATGCTCCTAACGCCTTCTCATCACTGTTGGTAATTGTCCAAGCTTCTGCACCATACAGCAGGACAGGCATGATAAGGGATTTGTAGAGCGTGATTTTTGTTTGTCGAGAGAGGGCTTTATTTCTCAATTGCTTACTTAGCCCGAAGTAACATTTGTTGGCAAGAGTAATTCTTCGTTGAATCTCTAGGCTGACGTCATTTTTGGTGTTTAAGCTAGTTCCTAAATAAACAAAGTCTTTCACAACTTCGAACTTATAATTGTCAACAGTGACGTAGGTCCCAAGACGCTCAGGAGATTTGTTTGTTGACAGAAAGTACTTTGTTTTGTCCTCATTTACCACAAGACCCATTTGTAAACGCCGTATTAGTTTATACAAAACCGTAAGATATCACCTGCTGTACAGGTTGAACTAATTTGTATATTCACTTGTGTTTGAGTCTGATATATACAAACATAGTTATTATGACTAAAAATATAAAAATCTGATTTTATTATGGAAATGGAAGCTACTGAAGTCTTTTAAAATAACAACAAATTTTTTTCTCTTGTTTTAATTATAAGAAATTCAAGCCGCGTGCAAGTTCAAGTAAATTGATGGCAAATTGAGGAAAAAAGTAAATTATGTTGGTACGGCAGCGAATGTTGGGTATTTACTAGAATTTCGAGTAGGGTAAATTAAATAAAAATTAGGTAAATTAGGTGTTACCATTGTGAAAATTTTATAAAATATTTAATAAATATATAAATAAATAAATAAATTTGAAATCTTTTAACCAAAAATAATAAATAAGTGCAATATATATAAATAAATATTTGCATAAGTGGAGTGCCAAAAATACCTAAGAAATTATAATTTACTTTATCTTAATTTACTCGAACTCGCACACGGTCTTAAAGTGTGTAATTGCTTATGCATTCAACATAATCAATGACATTGGTAAATTGCGTCATTAAGTATTATTAGTGCGATTGGTTTGTGTATAGAATAATTTGGTTTGTATATGGAATAAATTAGTTTGTGTATGAAATAATTTTAAAAGGGTTATTAAAAATAAAATAGATAAAAAGTTTTGTTTATTGTAATAAATCGAAATGATCAGTGAGAACAATTATTTTCAAAAATTGTGTATACACAATTAATTCTAAGTCAATGCCAACTTAATTTCTACTTAGAAGTGTTGTTATTAAGGTTTATATCTAATCTTTTAATGTGATAATTATTGTGTTTATAGGTCGTTTATAACTTAACAAAGACTATATTAATTCCAACGATGACATAGTAAAAATTTATTGTTATCAAAAGTTTTCTGATCGGCACATTTAACCCCTATCAAATAATGAAATGAATACCGAATTCAGTAACAATCATATCTAAAGAGAAAACAGCAGCGGTTCACTTGTCAAAAACTTACATACACTTAGCAGAAAAACTCTGCGTACAGAAAGTAAAGTTTGTTTCAACATATAAAAAATTATTAAATAAATAAATTTTTTAAATCAATTTTATTTTTTGTTTGTAGTTTAATTCGTTGACTTTATTTTAAGCTAAAACTTATTTCTAACACATTAGTAGAAAAATTATAATAATTAAAAATGTAAAAAATCAGCGCTATCGGTGGCAGAAAAAGTCTACGTACAAAACATATAAAGGGGAATTCCCGAAGTTTTAATAGTAGAACTTTGGCGTGCTTTATGTTTTACTGTACCAGAATATCATTATACACAATCCCACGCACTTATTTTATAATTTAATGATTAAAAAGTAATTAAATTTTTAATGACAAATAAGGGAAAAGAAATTATTATCAGTGAGAGCAGTATTATTATTGATCTGTGGAAAAAAAGGAAAATGTATTGCAAAATTGGTCAAATCGTTAAGCGGTCACATTCTTTTATCTAAAGAGTAGTGAACAACTACAACTAAATAGAATTATTGACCTCGAAGTTGGGATCTTGGCGTCCATCCAAGCTGTCAACAAGAGAAACCCTCAGCATTATTAATTCAGTGAAAGATAATCCTCCTCTAACTGAACTTCTGTTATAGAAATATATTGACCAGACATTCCAGAAGCAAATTCACGTGGATACTGTACACAAAATATTAAAAAAATACAACTGCCATGGCCGGTTTGCACGAAGCAAGCCGCTTATCTCCAAAGCTATTAGAATGAAGCATTTAGCATTCGCAAGGGAGTATTTAAATAAGTCTCCAGAATTTTGGAAACGCATAATTTTTTCAGACGAAAGCAAATTTTGTCTCTTTAGCATTAAAGGTCGAACGATTATATGGCGAATTCCGGGTACTGCCTTTAATAATGAAGATTTGTATTCAACAATAAAACACAGTAGTGGAGGAGTAATAGTGCGGAGGTGTATGGCGAGTAATAGAGTGAGAAAAATGGAATTCATTGAGTCGATAATAAATAAAGATGATCATTTAAATGTTTTAAAATGCAATTTAAAGAGCAGTGCCAAGAAGTTGGGGTTACAGAACAATTACTTACTTCAACAAGATAACGACC